TAAAAAGGAAAGTACTTTTTCCTGATGATTTAATAAAAATAAATATAAAAAATGTTCTTTCTATTTCTTCAACATGGAACAAGTGATTTGTTTAAAATATATAAGAATTAGGCTAGAGATACAGATCTAAAAATAATTATGTATTTTGAATCATCAAAATAATCATGGGACGCTCAAACATGAGCAATACTAGAAAAAATTTTAACATTCTAACAACTAGCTTATGCATCTTATGATGTCTTACATAATTATTGATTGTCTATTTGATGATCCAACAAAATTATTTTCAGATCTACATCTAATCTAAGGTGTATTTTTAAATAAGACTAAATTCTGCCTTGCGATGGAACTTAAACTAATCTTTAAAAATCCTTTGTTAGAAATCCTAACAAGTATGAAAACAATCATCATTTATTCAAGAAGAAGTGGAAAAGTTGTAAAAATAGCGCAGTAAGCTATTCTCATATCATATTATCCATGAAGACGAAGAAAAATATTCATTATATTTTATCCCAAAGTTAGCTATTAATTTTATTATGTTTAATAATAAACAATTTTAGATAGACAATTTATGAGTATTATCGACAATGATAGAAATTTTGGAAACACAGGCATTTTGTAAACTACGTACTAAAATAAAGTTATTTTATAAACTATATAAAATAATTTTGTACAAGACTAAAAATTGTACTGTCAAAACACATCTCTCATTTATTTTCGTCTTAGAATCCAATTTATCCTGAAAATTCGTATTTAAAGAAACATAGAGTATCAATAAAAGATCTCATAATGCTACGTTTTTTATTATATATATTCTGTATGGATTTACTTGCAAAAAATAGAACTCCGTCGAGTCTAGTGACACATACTTCGCAGATAAGTGACTTTAGTAAAATATTTTTAGTAAAAAGAACGTCATCGAACATAAAAATCAGATTAAAAATATCATGAAGTATTGTAATATTTATATAAGATACTTTATATGTTCATCTTTCTCTTCTTATTTGGCATTTATATTTAAAACAATAAGAATCATACATAAATTGCTTAACATATTTTATAATTATTGAAATTTATATTTATAATTTTAATAAAATTTAAACAAACATATTTTATATTTTAATGTGATAGATATTAATAAATCACATTGTTATAAAATTTTTTGAAATACCATGTTGTTCTATAATTATCATGACTTTTAGATAAATTTTAAGAAAAAAATTCTCTCTATAATACTCTATATAATCTTATTTGATCGTATTACACAATATTTTACCATTATGTTCGTGATAATGAAAATTTTATTGTAACGTACACATTAAAACATACAAATCTCATTGTACAAACAACGTGTTAAGTGTTCCTGAGATATTATAAATTATACGTCGTCGTGATGTTTGCATGCAATGACATTGAAATCGAAAAGCTTGATTTCCAAACTTGAACCCACCGAGCAACGTACGTCAGGCAAATAAACATCACGTGGGAGAACTAAAGGGCTAAAGCATGTTCGCTGCATTATTCAATGGCAAGATACTGACCGCGCGAGCTGTGCGAATTTGCGTTGCTAACGGGAGCCTTGCACGTTTGAATATGAGAATCACGTACGTGATTACAAAACCCTCGGTACATGTAACCGTATGCGAATAAAGAATTGCGATGATCTCATCGACGCGAGAGGGAGCTAAAAAAGCTAACTACGCCGTTCACGGCTGACTTTAGCACTTTGCACTTTTCGTACCTCGCCGGAAAAAGCGGACTCGTGATCTGCACAATTGATGTAATCGAGCGACCACTCGCTATATTATCGAACTGCCATCTCTTTCTCAAAATATTCTTAATCATCTCGTAATCTTATCTCCACGTAATATTGATATTATACAGAACGATAACCATTAAAGTCGCGAAATTTCTTGGCGAATTGTTACCAATGAATCCTTTCATAATTGTGCGCGTCAGGGAATAAAACATATAGATAAATACGCGTTTCTTCTTACTTTTTAACGTCTTTTTAATTTAATCCCTAATAGTTTAATTCCTTAAATGACATTTTATTATTTTTACCTTCCAAGTATGTCAAAATATATTTAATTTATTTTTGTGATTAGTTTCAAAAGAGTTAAACAATTTAACTCAAGAAAATATATTAAATTTGACTAAAATTTAACTTATTATTTATTAAATGCATACATAATGCAATATAAATGTTGTTTATATTAACGTATGCATTTAATAAGTACTAAATTAAATTTTAATCAAATTAATGTATATTCTTGAATTAAACTGCTTAACTCTATTATTTTAATTAAATTAACGATATAATAGAAATAATGGCAACCTACAAAAATAAGAGTAACTCAAATTGGATATAATTTTGACATTATGAATTTAACAGTGTTTGTCTACAAGTTTAAGATATTTCTTCTATAAATTCTAATTCTTTCGAAAGTTGAATTTATTCTGTAAATCCAGCGCTAAGACGTATAATCGTTACTCATGTTTGAACACGGGACTTCATGTTTCTCGTGTGCTTGAAATATAACGGGAAACATCGCGAATCTCTGGAATTTCTGTCGGTGCGCAAAGAAGGAACGTCTCGGTATAATGAAACGGTCAAAGTTATCCTTATGCATATATTATACAATATTGTACAATACCATGACATTCCCGGGAGACAACGTGCCGCATCTTGGAAATTACCTCCGTACCTTCCGTTCTTATGTATCTCTTCTAATGGCCGGCTACTTATCTCGTTTGATCCGGTTAAACGACGATGCTCGTGCGCCAAGAATATCTATAATATCTAAAATACCATCTCCGTCACTATATGCTCGCGATCGGAAAAATGAAATGTGTCAGACGAGTTACGGCCGCTACATAAGCGCATCATAGAGCGTCTTCAAAAGTATTTGCGAATTAATAAATTGCCGATATCAAAAGTAATGCAAAAAAGTGCAACAAACAAGTTTGATAGATTTACAGTAAGGATTAGATTTAGCGAAAATTACACTCGAACATGTAATTGAGCAAATATGCATCAAAATTTAAAGTGAACTTTTAAATTAAGATTAAGACTTTCGAGATCGTAGCGAATCGAAAGACAATGCTATTAAAGCGCAAATGTAAATTTATCTTTTGTGAAATATTAATATTGCTCAATGAATTTTACCTATATATCTTACCGTGTACAATACAGTAAAATTTTCATTATTATAAATATATATGATAAAATATTGTGTAATGTGTAATTAAATAATATTGTATTCTCATATATACGTAATGTTTTTAAATCATGCACGTTTTACTTTTGCGTTGTAATGTATAACTATAATTATAACGATATAATCGGGGCGTTATGATTGTTTTAAACGCCTCTACGCTGAAATTAAATAAAAGATAATTTAAAAAAATTCCTCTTAGCGTTATCCAGAACTATAATGAAGACATAGCAGGATAATAGTTCCGTTTTTGTTTTGGTTTTTTATATTTTATACTTTACTATTGTTAAATAAAAGCGTGTGCCTGTTGTATTATGTGGAACGCTATTTTCTTGTTGACTCGTGTCCTTATGGCCTTGCAATTATGGGAATAATGGGTATACTTGTAGAACTCAAAACGTGCGTTAATTTCTGTGAAAATCTTTACTCTCTTTACAATTCCATATTTACGAAGTAACAATGACTACTGTTCGCGTTAAGGCGCAACGTATAAATGACGACGAACACGACCGGTCGGCATTGCGAGCGTCTTAGCAAAACAGGAAATCACTTGATACACGCTAAGATTGTGGCTGGGTTCCGTTATTCATTGTAAATACTGAAAATCTAATAATAATATAATAATGTACGTACCATGAATAGGTTTTCAATACTTGCAGTGAATAACGAAATGCAGAATGTCAGAATAGCACGCCGCAAAAGCGGCCTTTTTGAACGGCTACACGTTACATAAATGCATTTACATGCATCCAGTGCAGACATTTATCTTTTATATTTTTATTTTGTTAACTTTTATTTTATTCTTGTATTAATTTTGATATCACGGATGTAATTATAATAGAATATATTTTACATTTTGGTTTGTAATAATATATTTTGTAATAATACATTTTGGAATAATACATTTTTGAGATAATAAATTTGAGAAATACATTTTGTAAAAAGGCGAGAAAGGTAACTTATTTACAAATTATTTTTCTTTGCCTTATTAGCTTTTATGAATATTTCTATAAAATTCTTTGTAATGAAAATTGTTGGCTAATTCATTCTTGATTGATAACATTGCTAAATCAATTTTAGTTCATAAAAGTGCATGAAAGTTTGATCTCGCAGACTCCTGGTTCGATATCTTATTACATTTAACGATGAACATCTGTTCATCGAGGGTGGAGACGTAGCCTAAAGGGGATTTGATGCAGCGAGATTTTGTGCTGCAATTTTGATTTGACGAGTCGATTCGATATTTACAGACGTCGATTTCTACGCAATCTAGCATTGCTTCTCGATGCATGCGCACGTAGAAACGGATGCTATTTCGGTGCCCGCGGGTGCGCCAGTTGACGTCACGCACATGCGGCTTTCGAGGATGCGATTTAACGCGATAATCGGCTTCCATGATCGAAACTTTGAGGCGTTAATTTATGAGTTGTTGCTAAAGTCGTTGCTTACGACTGCTCGCGAAAAACAAGTCAATGCGTGCGTCACATATTCAATATATGTGTATCTATGTGGCATGATATCTTCGTTTACCGCCACTTAAAACTGTTGATTCAAATTGAACTCATTGCATTAAATTTGCATATGTAATGTAACAGTAAATGTGTCATATGCTTCTTATATTAAAGACGTTTTCCTTCAGAAAAAATTTCACGTAATATACATTTTTTGTGTACTATGTTAAATTTTGAAATATTTTAAATATTCAAAATACTTAAAATTCGAGATTAAAAGAAGTTTAGAATAGAATTTCAATAATTCTTTTTTTATAAGATTGAAACTTACTCAGTATCAGGCACAGGTATCATAGGAGGAGGTAAGCGGCCATTGTGGTCCAGAAAGTGATTGATCTCAGGTTCCTCTTGTACTGGGGTCTCATAAACGAGTGTTTCCACCATCGACCCTTTGCTCGAGCCGAAGGATACCCTAAACAGTAATCATTCTTAATGAAGCAACAAATACATAGATAAAAACAAAGTTCATTGATAAATTTATAATTAAATTATTACGGAATTATATAAACAAATAAATAGGCAGAAATAATATTTTCTCTCCACATTTTGAGAAACGTCTTTAAAGGTCTTTAAATAACTCTTTACTTATTTTGAATATCCTGTATTCGGCATGCGATCAAAACAGGTCATATAATATCGATCAGTGCATGAAAAATACTTGTTGTAAACCTCAGTTTTCTATCGCGTGACCACAACCGACTGAACCGACGACCGCAAAGATGATATCAAAATCAAAATCTCGCGATCACCATGGCGTTGAATTACAATCGCGCGTGATCAAGATTGACCCGTATATAAGTAAATATGCCGCACAGTTACTCATTACTTGTCTCGGAAATGGTAAAAAACAATCAAAAGTAAATCTTGACAAATTCGTTCAACAACTGTCTACAAAAATTGCATATTATAATATATTTATAAAAGAACAATTTTTTTATAATTTTACACATAATAATTACCAAATACAAAGTTCACAATAGCAGTATAGACGTTTTGACTTCTGTTCTCTGTAATGTAAAGGCGATAATAGATAGAAAAACAAGTTTGATCTCTTCTTCAACATTAGTCAATTAGATAAAACTATCGGTTAAACTATTACAAAAAGTAAAATTCAGGCTCCAGCTAAATAAAGAAGTTATTTACAATGTGATATTATCTATGTGCGTCAAATAATAATTTTTTTATTAATATGAACTAATAATAGTATGATCTTATTATATTTTTTTAATAAATAATGTAACTGTTAACTATAATTCATGTGTTGTACATATTAAATTGTTGAATAGAAAATTGTAATGTTGAGGTCATTACTATTAGTTGGTATTTACTGGAATATTTATTGGTATTTTAAACAGCACACATTTCTGATTTTATAGTCTAAAGTCATTGTTTCTAATAGTAGTCTAATAAGACTGGTTGGAACAATTAATATTAATTAATTCTTTCAGTAAAATTTTACTGATGTTTTACAATGTTTACTTACAATTGTATAGTTTTACTTACTATATAATCAGCGACTATTTGGTGTTTTTCGTAATAATATATATTGATTTATTTTTAGAGAGTATGTCTGATTGTTAGCTTTTCTTCTTATATCGAAAAAAATATAAATCATCCAACAGGACAAAAAAATGCACTTTTTTTGTATTACAGAAGTGAAAAGAATCGCGAACAAAAGATCTAGATTTCAGATTTAAATGTAAAGGGTATAATATCGGACTCTGTATAAGTTATTGTTTTCAGATTTATTACACAAAAACAAACTTTTAATGTATTATTATTTACTAAAATCGTCATTTCGAATAAAAATTAAAAAAAACTCGATCTACTCTCTAATTTAACGCTAACTTGAATATCCTGATACAACGTATGCATTAAAGATTCTATAATATAAATAATTAAAGTAGTGTATTGTAATTCGAAATTAATTGATGACGAAATTAATTGATTAAATCATGACAAGAAACTAGATTTCACGGAGAAGCGCACATTTCGGATCAATCATTTTTTCTCAAGGATAGTACAATTCATAATTAATTCAGGACGTTGTAAATAAACGGAGTTGAAATGATATCGTCAAAGACATCCTGTGTATCGAAAGAAAAAAAATTTTTTTTAAACGTTTATTTTTGCTCGATCGCAGAAGAATTACTGCATCGAGCCGTGATAATTTTACTCTTACGGCTTATAAAGTATCGAACGCAACGAGCCGCAGCGGCAGTCGATTAGCGAGAGGTATAGCCTGCTGGGTTGAAATCGATTACGGAATACTATGGTTCTTGTTTGCAATAGAAAACACTTTTATTTCAATCTCTTCGTACTTTGACATAAGTGCATTTTATTAAGCGTTATTATTTATTCATTTTTATGAATTATAAATTTCAATAAACATACATATGTATATATATTATAGACATTCAATATTTTGTTAATGTTAGAATTCTTATATGCATAAGAATTTTAATATGAACGAGATATTTAATCTTTATGATATATACAGCGTATTTTTATTGAAATGTCCAAATGTCCAATTGGTAAAATTGTATTTCTTATAATAAAATTCTCCATATTTTTTTTTTAAACAAAATAATAGGTTATGACTTTTTACTTTCTAATATTAACTAATATCCCAATAATTAAGTTTTAAACTACAATTAAATCGATTGTTGTCGCTAAGAATATGAAAATAAAAAAGATATTATATATCAGAAGTAAATATTATAAATCTCTCCTAAGAACAATAAAAGAAGCAATAAAAAATACTTCCATTTTAATTTTTTCATGTTTTGACATAATTATTTTATTATGTGTTATTATTTAATTTTTTCAAAGATTCTTAAATATCCATGTATAAGAATTCTAACGTTAACAAAATATTTAATGTCTATAATATATATATATATATATATACAAAGAAATAAGCAAAAAACCTAGCTGCACGTGCAAACGTATCTATCTGCCAATACACATTTGCAAAAATAAACGCTAAATACGCAACATTTCCTAAGTACGCAATAGCGTTTTGGCAACGGATCAGTTTCTTTCTAGAGTGATTCAAGCTATGCGCTGCCAGTATTATTATATAAAGAACCTAAATAAACTCCTCGAAAATGCATTAATCGGCATAGTGTTTTAGATAAATTTCTTTATCATAGAATTTATCGTTAAGAAATACTTGAAAAGAATTAAAACTCACTTGTTACAATAGAACATAATTTCATCTCTGTGAAGTTAACACCTTATCTTTTAAAACAATAAATTTTTCTACAGTTTTAAATATATCCTGAAGAGTTTTAGAGTCCTTAACAAAATTAAAAATAGTTCTGCTAAAAAAAAAAACACGATCAATTTTCGGCGCTACTTCACGAAATGAAGTACGAAAAATACGATATTTCTTTAAATATGTATTAATTTAAGCGCTTAAAGTTATAATAATTATCGTTAGAATTTTTTAAGTGCTATCTAGAACTCCTACTAGAACTGTCGAAACATTCAAAAATTCAGGTGTTAGAAATTTTTCGATTCGCGATATGAAGTCTCAATAACTTCTCAAACGTTAACTTTATAGCTTCGAGTGTTAATATCTTTTGTTAAAATTCTTGTGATGTTATCCAAAATTATTAATAAAACTATCAAAATCGTTAAAAGTTTTTCACGTCTCAAAAAATTTCTAACATTCGAGGGACGAAAAAGTTTTCAAAGTTTCGACAGTTTTGTCGACAACTCTATATAAGAAGAGTATATTTATTACTTATGTATATCCATATGTACCCATATATGGGAGTGAAACGACATTGACATGTCCTTAAAAAATACAGTTTTTTTAACTTTTTATGATAACCAGAGTTTTAACAGATCTAAAAAAAAAATACTTTTAAAAACTTTTAAAATCGTATGATTTTTATTTAAAAAAATTTTTCGTTTTCAGTTTCAATAACATTTGCTTTAAAAGAAAAATAATGAAATTTTTTATATGGATACATAAAAATACATATTCACTATTTTAATATAGCTTTCATATTATAAATTCAAAATCAGATGAGTACAACTTCTTAGTCAGAGTTTTTTTAGTTTGCTAGTAAAAAACGTAGTAGTATACTGACAGATTTGTCTAAAAACGGAAATATTTAAATAATGATTATTACTTATAATTTTCCAGCGCAATTGTGAATAAATCATTTAATTTTTACAGTATTCAAACTCGATTACAATGAGATCATGTCTTAAATTACACAAAAAAATCGATTTTAAAATCGTGTTTTTCGAAAGTTTCGTACTATTCGCCATTAAAACAGTTATAGGGAAATATAAAGTCCATCTAAAGAATCAATTTAATTTAATATAAATTAAATCCGTGTAGGACCAAAAAAAAACAGCTTTATTGATACGCTTTCTTTGTTATCCAAAACAATTCATATAAAACAAACTTTAGTTAGAATAACCAAATATATATTAGAACAACACAATTTTTTAAATAAAAAAGTAAGAACATTTTTGTTAGTCATATATCAAATGATATGTATCAAAACATTTCTCTCAGTTTTTATCAACATAATTTTTATCAGGATAAAAGGAATTTTTAACGAGAAACTGTGCTTTTGCGTACATCATGTCGACAAGAGTGTTATTACGTTGGAACCTGTTTAGCTATTCTAATTCAGTTCCGAATATTATTTTAGTCAGTTTTGATAATATCGTAACATTTGAAATATTAAAAGTGTTAAAACATACACAATCGACAGGATCAAGCCTTTTTCTACTTCGCGTTATTTCACACCGGTTTCATGCTGAAATATCTCTCTCGCTATCTTATGTGTCTTTTGTCAGAATTATTAAATGCATTCAGAAGATGGTCTCAGTCGTTTCGGTACGTCTTGTCCGAGCGAGGCTCCGCTCGATGCATTATGACGACCCATCGAAGTCACGGCGAGGTTGACCCTGACCTATCCTTCGTGCAAGTGCCAGCAAAAGTCTCGTACGGGCTGCGAAAGTCAGCCTGTAGACTCGACATGTAGTGACGTTTTTTTTTTCACGAAAGAGAGGCATTTTATCATGTAAAACTCAATGAACCTACTGTGAAAGAGAGAGAGAGGGGGGAGAGGAGGAGAAAGAGAGCAGCACATGCGGTTTAATCTCAACATTTCTTCCGAGAAAAACAATAACAGTGCTCCGATTTCAAAGATTTGTGATTTTACCTATCAGATTCTATTTATAACTCTTGGATACAACAGTGTCAACAAGGAATCCTATATTAAAAAAAAAATTTTTAGTTTCTGTGACTATAAAATTACATGTTGCCATAAAATTGTGGTTATTACTGCTATAATGTTATTAATAATAACTATATATCATTCTATCATTAAATATATATATTATAGTTTGTAACCGAAATGACTATAAACTTAGTCGTTAAGTAGTATATAAGTTAAATTATAATAATTGCAATCTTTTGTATAGCAATTATAATTACAAGTATAGTTACTTTTGATTGCCAACTATATATACATTTATTGATAAACTATACATAATTATTATTATAATAGTAATAATCGTAATTATGGTAAAATATAATTATAATCACAAATATCAAAAATTTTTCTCTCATCAGAAAGAGAAAGAAAGAGAGAGAGAGAATTTATTTAAAAAAATAATAAACTTGAACTGTGTGGAAATTATAAGATTCACGTAAAAATGTTATTAGAAATCAACATCCATTTTAATTGAATATGACCTTTGCTTATTTGTGTTGAACAGTTCTCGATTAAATTTCATTTATAATTGTTTAAAAAATAATTTAACGTTATTTATTTTTTATAGAGTGTACAAGATCTAGACTAGTGACTTTTCATTTATGATGATCTTAATTTGAAATAAATCGCTTTTGTTATTGCTTCTTTACTTACCTTTTCAGGCTGGCGTGCTTCGCGCCGTTGAGAATCTTGTTCTTACGTTCGCTGCCGGCAGTACTGGCTACGCTGTCGATGCTGTAGAGACTGTCGTCCTTAGTAACCCTGCTGGCGTTGTGCAGAGTCGATTTCCTCGTGGTTGTCGTTCCATTGTGCTTCGGACTCTCGACCGGTCGAGGGAAACCGTGCCGGGCGACAGGATCGCCGCCAGTCGAATCCTCGATCTTGGTGGAAACGATCATCGCTCTAGTCGTGTCCGTGCATTTTCTGGGAGATGTGCTCACTACAGCGGTGCTCTTTTGCAGCTTGCTGGCCGTGCGATAATTGTTCTGTTGGCTGCTGGGTTCGCCGGGCGGTGGCTTGTCCTCCGTCGGCAACATGTACGACAACATTGTCCCTTTTTCTTTCACCTGGGCACACGGGAAGCAAACACGTAGGCGGAAATTCAGTATGATCGCCGTGGAAGATCGACGGAGTCATTAACCAGGTAGGCACGACGATGAAAAAAATACGTAGCGATATAAAAGAGATCAATTGAGGGTCATTAGAAACGGATAGAAAAAGTATACCGTTCACAGTAATAAGAGCATGACAGTAAGTTGGTTGATTAATGCTTCGAGATACATAGTTGGAAGTTAACAACATATCACTCGCAACAATTAGAAAAGATTCGGACGATTCTATAGTTCGACTCAAACGTCAGCGATTAGGAAAAACCGAAATAGCATGTTCCGACAGACATATTCATTTAATATCTCGAATTTAAATACTGAGAGAAAATTTTGAAATTTCAAATATTTCTGGATATCATCATTTTCTGAAGAGATAGTCATGTAATTGTTTTGAGTAGTATACATGTATAATCATAAAGAAGATTTATTTCGCAAAATATTCCTTTTTAAAAGGGAATATATATATATATAAACAATACACGAAAATGAAATTTGTACCATTAAAAAAATAAAAGGTGCTTTAAAATTTGCAGTTTTAATTAAATACCCATGACCATTAATTTTCACACCTCAATAATCTAATAAACCGCAAAAAAGAATGTTGTAAAAAAATTTTAATCAAATATCGAATTACATTATCGAGAAACATTTGGTTCCATTGAGAACGCGGAACAATAGCGAGTATATTCTACGAGAATTAAGAGGATTAAGCTGAGTAGTTAAGTAGTTCAATATCTCGTGATGCGCTCGAGTGATTATATGAAATCACGTGTGTCGCAGCGCTTTACACATTATATTCTACATATATATAACGAACAGCATTATTATTAGCACGATAAGTTAACCGTCTCCTGTCAAACTAGTGTGTCGTGTTGCGAGTTTCCCGCGGATGAGCGTCATCGTCGTTATCATTAGCAGATAACTGTATCGGATCCGTCCTCCTCGATGTAATGTAAATACTCGCAATGAATCGAAACGAGAGAGCGGGCACGAAAGAAACGATTCGCTTTAAATGTGTTTACACAGTCACTGACCGACAGATCCGACTTCCTATCTTCAGGCGTCTTTGATAATAAAACCTACGATATTGGATATATAAAAAAAAAATGTCGAAGAGAACGTCGATTGGCTAGATTTGAATGTTTAACAGTATTGTTGATAAATGGAAATTGACACGTGAAAAAAGATCGTACTTAAAAAAATGGCTCCTTTTGTCTACGAATCGAATTTGCCTACATCGTTTGCCTACATCTCACTTTTGCCGACAGTTCGTTTGCGAAACCAAAATTATTGCCTACAAATTATTTTTCAAATATTTCGCCAATATTGAGCAAAAATTGAATACCCAATATTGGCCTAATATTGGTTCAACAATTCCTGCAGGAACAACTGCAATAATTAAATCTCTCTATATCTTTGTCTTCTAAATTTGAAAAAATTTCATATAACATTTTTCAGATACAGTTATTTTGTATAATTATGATGTAAACTTGCATAGGAAACAACATTACCAAACTTTAATCGCTTATTCATAATTAGTTATTTTCTCAATTTATAAAGTATTTGTCGTGAAACAAAAGTGGTAGATTTACAAGAGAAATCACTTGACTTTCATAATCCCGTAGATTATTGTTTAAAAAATTGTTAAGCTATGTGCGCATTATGCAATATAGTAATCACAAAGTATACTTGTGTGCAAATTTTTTGTACATAAAAAATATGTCTATTACTTTTTACTACTCTACAAATATACGAAGTTTTATTAAAGTTTCAAGGAATCGCAGAAAGGTAGGTTTACTTGTTAGTTATACAAACTCACAATCAGTATTGTTCGTTCAAGTAATCTCAGATCCATTGAATATTTATACTATTCATACACTGAAAAAAAAGTTATTAACTTGACTGAATGCTTTTATAATTTGTAATGATTATTTAGTTCAAGTATTTATATATTTATTTACAATAAATTAAACACAATATTATACATGAGGCATGTTATTTATTTAAATTAACAAATATTGGCTTGACAACTCGTAACCGCTGCATTTAGTCGAATCAACTAATATTTTTTGGAAACAAAAACTTTTTTTCTCAGTGTATGAACTATAAAGTTTTTATGTTAATAACTTCAGGTGACACGGAGTAAAAAATTGATGAATTTTTTTTTATTTTTGTGCGATTTTCTTATGAAATCGACATACCCGGACTTTCTAATACGTATTTTAATTCTGTAAAAAAAATTTTGCAATCCGTGAAGCCAGTTCGAAAATTTTGATTGCACTGTAATTCATAGTAATTGCCATTGCTCCAACATCCCTTTAAACTCAATTTCTCGATTTACGCTCGGATGCACTTGCATCTGCGTTGTTCGTTTCTCACGCGTGCGATTTCGCATGCGCGTTGCCGCAAACTTGTATCTCGCGACTACTTCCGCGACTTAAACACACTCGCACCGACGCTTGCGCGCTTAAACGAAATCGCATCCACGATTCCATTTAATGATTATTTCAACCAAGGTGATCGCACTGCATTAATGGACGATCGAAACTTTTGAAATTATTTCAACCCCTTGTCGATAAAGTACATGTTATTATTTCTATGTTGCGTTTGTATCTCAAAAGTTAAAATGTGGAAACCACATCTTGACATGCATTCAGATTTTTTAATTTTTATTTTAAAGCGGCAGCTTCGAAATTTCAGTGTCACTAATGTATGTAACGCGAATGCTGTTACTTTTGGTGCAGCAGCAAGTAGCTTCCGTTACGCGGCGGATGGCGAGAAGAGAAAAGGAATGTTTGCCAGCGGAAAGCCGAACCGTGACTGAGCGTGACGCAAAAGCGAGGCAAAGGTTACAAGACAGACGGCCGACTATAGCTACATCTGCTCTACTCCGCTTTAGTTGTCCGCTGTTCTCCGTTCTAGATGTTGTTTCTAGTCGCTGTCTGATCCGGCTAGCATAAAGTCAATTCGTCCTCCCGATCTTACGTCTGCCTAGCTAGTCCTTCCCACTTAACCAAATCTTAATGAATAAATTATATAATAATTTTATATGCTTTTCAAATCCACAAGAAAAAATTTTTCGCTCATTTCGTTTAACTAAAAAATTTTTTTTGTGAGGGGAGCTGAGTATAGTAGACGTACTCACGTTCGCGCCAAGAAGTACTTGAAACAAGGATGTCCGAAATGTCTTCTTGATAGAGTAGCATTGGGACTATCTGAAACATTTGTAATCGACAAATACGAATGTTTATTTTCTTTCTCTTTTTCTTTAATAAATTATCTTTATTTTAGAAATTTATAAAACGTATACATTTATATTTTAGAAATTTCTCTTAACGATACGTCGGAGTCATTTTTACAAATGTGTTAATATCGAAAGAAAAAGGGCTATAAGCCTAAGATTAATCGTTATAAGTTAAAAATTAAAAACGTCAATAAATAAAACTGTCATTTAGCTAAATATAAACTTTAATATACCGCTAATAAACAAAACAAAATTGTGTTAATATTTACACTTTAAACAAATTATATATACGTATAAAGATTGTATTCATAACATTCTGTTTATTGAATAATACGTTTTTATAGTTTATTTATTTATTTGTCGTTATTTTTATTGTTATAAACTAAAATATAAAAAATGATAAAAATCTAAATTTTTTAAATTGATATTTTAAGTATTCTTAAAATAATTTATGCAAAGTTTTATTGCGATTCACTAATCAGTTACCAAAGATTTGGAACAAACAAATATTCTGTTTATTTACTGGACAATTAGCATCGCAATGTAAAAAACTATTTCAAGCTAATTCCATAAGCTTTAAGATTATTTATGTATATTTTTCACATCCAATAAACTACAAGTTATCTATTAAAGTTTATTACAACGTAACAATATTTATTCATATCTCGGCAATTATTCATCATTTGTACTAGGAATATTTCAATAAACTGGACATTTTGGTGAAGAAAATTGATTACGTACTAGTGATTACAACTTGATTGTATTATTTCTCAAGTGAAGATTGACATTATATTAGGTGTTGGAATTAATTCGTAGCGTTTTACAAGTGATGGGAAGTACTTTCATTAATGTATTTTTTAATGCTCATGTGAAATAAATAACATTCTTTCATTAAAAAACGCTACGAATTAATTCCAACACCTAATAATTATTTAGTAGCACTAGACCTGAAAATTTTCTCACAAAGTTCTTCCAACATCGAAAGCTATATGTCCAGTTGTATTTGGCTCGTCGAGCCTTTTAAAAGACACTAGATGAATAAATTTCTTATCAAGGGCAACTTCTGAAAGATGCGCGCCGAGAAATAAATAACAAGACTCTTCCTGAAGACATTTGCGCTGTCGAGGGAAAGCTGGCTGGCATTTCACGGAGTGAGTTCAGATACTGCAGCAACATTTGAGTGGAATCATTCGAATACCTTTTCGCTATTGTGTATCTCTCACACAAGACGATCAACTTCGATATCTTATGTGTGGTGAATACAATAAGTCGATAACAGCGGCTTCTAAAGTAAGACTCCGGCGAGCCGATATTTCTAAGGTTGTACGTGATAAGAAAACCATACGAGTAGGGTGCAGAGTTATTTCGAACTCTGTAGCATATATTCATCGGAGAATTAAAAGAGTCCGGCTTATCCACTCAATTACTCTGCATCGGGCAACCGCTGTACGATAACTTCGTTGCACTTATCATCTTCGTGAGAACGTGAGTCATTTTATTTTGTGCTGCGTTCGGGTTAGGTCGTGCTATGACAAACGCGTAGCGATCATGTTTTTACATGTACAAATGATCACGGGATATCGTCTCAAGTTTCTGTTAAAAGGAAGAGTAAGAAACTCGAAGATACTCAATGATTCATTCTTACTGTTAATACTAAAAAAATAAGTAAAATTTTCACAAACACATCGTCAACAAATATATAATTAATATCGAGACTTTTTCATTTTACATAGATAATCTATATAAATTCGGTTTTTATATAACTTGGAAAGCAGAATAATTACATTCTAAAAAATATAGGTGTGGAGGTAATACCACATGCGGCGTTTATATGATTCTCATCGTGTAAATGTCGATGCAAACACCAACGTACTATGTATTTAACACATGGGTTTTAAATGGTGATAAGTATATAAAACCATCATATTAAATCTATCTACATTAATGTTTACATCAACATCAACATTATGTGGATTTAACACTATACGATGCTTATATAATTCTCATCGTGTTGATAATGATATAAACACTAATATGATGTGAGCTTAACACTGTTAAATCTACACCCTTATTTTTAGAATATATCGAAACATTATTCACTGACCTAATTTTGAATTCATTCATTTCACGCGTTTGGGAAATATGAAGGTTAAACACAACGACGAATAATACGTAATGATAACCACCGCGCCAGTTCCGCCGCGATTACGGAGCAATGATGCAATGCGTTTGAGCGCACCGGAGCGCTAAATTGATAAATTTGCATGCCCCTTCCGTTGCGATCGCAAGCGGCGTATTCTCGTGCTGTACGACCAAAACGGGCTTCTCGTCTCGAGAGCAGAATAAATCCTGCCATTCGCATAATGCAAACGAAGCACAGACGGACTATGATAAATCTGCCCTTACGAGTCAATTCGAAATGTCAGTAGGATCGAGTGTGTTAAACAGATGCATAATGCAGCGCATCAATCGAATTAAAACAAATTAATTCGGAATTTTTTCAAAAAGATAGTTTTAAAAAAATAATTAAAAAAAATAATTCTTTATGTATTCAATCCATGAGAATTTAAGAGAGAATTATAAGGTTTCGAGCTGAAGCAATAACAAAATTTGAAAAGATGTCTACTTGATCTCTCTTACTTTTGGCAAGACAGACAATTTACTTATTTACAATATATTTATCCTTTCGGTTAGCTTTTTTATACATGAACAGACTTTCTTCATCCTAAAAATCGTGGTAATCATAGAACAACATGATACTTCGAAAAATTTTAAATAATTATCTCTAATATATTAATATTTCCACAATAACAAAGTATAAAGTAAGTTTAATTTATTTTATTAAAAAATAATAAAATTTCAATAATTTTAAAATATTAAAATTAAACAGTTCATAATTCTTTATTATTTTAAATTAGAATAAATGCCAAGTAGTGATAAACATATAAATTAGCCTATATAAATTTTATAATACAATACATCATGATATTTTCAACCTGGCTTAATCATCTATAAAAATTTTACTATGCAGCATGATAAATGATTGATTATATCCGATGATGTTATCTTTACTAAAACAGCATTAAAGTCGTTCACTAGCAAATAGTACACGTAATCACCGATAAACGCGATGAAGTTCATTTATTTCCTATATTTAAAAAAAACAACTCAGTATATACGTGATAAAAGGCGAAATATTACGAGATTATTCACCGAATCTAAACTTGGATTCGAAAACGAAAGATAATTGAGAGTTCAACAATACAATTTTTATCTTGGAATTCTTATCTTGGAGTGTGTTTACTAGCTCCTTAACTTTTTATTTTGTCCCTTTCCTTCATATTGCTCCCGCGTTTTGTTTCAACGACACGTTAATGTTCGTTAGTGAATCTTACTAGAAAAATCGGATTCTTTCTTCGTTTGACTGTGATTTACGAAAATTACAGAAAAGTTTTACACCAATTAGATTATTGTGATGGAATTTCATAATGCATACACAAGTAAATAAATTATTAATGGTTTGACTCTTTTTAAAAAATAAGCTAACGAATTAATTCAACATATTTTTAACAATTTAGGATTTATAACTCTTGTGTACACGTTGTGTAAGATCAACCATCACGATTATCTATCACAAATTCGTCGATTGGAATTGGTAACACTAACAATAGTAAAAAGACAAATACGATTACCAATATTTAGAAAGCTTAGCAAAGGCAAAAATAACCAAAGAGCACCGACTGTGAAATAATACATTGACTAGCGAGCGATATGCAAATAACATTGATGTAAGATTAATATTGTTAGGGAAAAAAACTCAGGCAATATATTTAATTTCATACACGTACATATAACTTCTTGTAATCATTTACAATTTCATAATACTAAAGATGGCCCCAATCAGAAGGCTGAAATGTTTATTATCATTAATGTAGAATACAAATAATAAAATATTTACGCATAAAAATCTAGCGTTGGTTTTTATGCTTCTGATTCATTTGATTTATTTTATCATAAAATCTCTATTCTTAATATAATACAGTTTTTTAAATTGTATGTAAACATTAATTAAGAAATCCTGATAATCGTAGTTATATACAGTGAGTGCAGAAAGTATTCGTACAGAGAAAATATTTTTAAAAAACCTTTTTAAAACGTAAACATTGCCAGCGAGAAATGAACTCATTAAATTGATGTCTAATCGATATTGGTACGATGATTTCGACGTCGATCTGACGTCTAATTGACGGTCATTTTTTACTGGGTTAATTAACAATTCACTTTTTACTTAAATAATAAAATAGACGGTATGATACTATATAATGCCAAATTTAACCATTGTCTTAGCATAAAATAACGGTATATTGAGTAGGAGTAGTGACGACTTAAATTACGATACTACAGCTTTAACAATGCATAATGATTCAACGAACGAATTCAAAGAAAAAGACATTAAAATTTAGAAGAGATATATTGTGAATAATTATTAAATTTCCTTATATGCATATTTTTGTACTCATTGTATGCTAAAATGTAATAATATAATGGCAACTGGTCTATATTAAAATGTAATATGTAAATTTTATGAAGCGTTTTGTAAATATTTTGCATTAAAACAATTTAAAACAATAACGTGCTTGGTAATTTTTATTATGTAGTTCATAAAATGTTTTTTGTATATTTCTCTTTACAGTAATATTTAATAGGTTGTCAGATTGTCCCATATTTATCACTAAACATGGCTAAAATTTGTAATAAATTTTGCGGCAAAATATAATAAAATATTCTTTCTGTATATAATTTCTAAAATTACATAAGAAATCATAGCATGTATCTTAATATTTATAAAAGAAAAACTTTTTCGTAGTCGTGAGTGGCAAGTTTACTTTTGTAGGAATTTGGTGTTTTACAGTGGCAAAAATGACGCAAGTTTTTGGGACAATTATAGTCACGACGAATACGAGAGGCTTA